CGGGGCCGAAACCAGCTGCACGCAGCAGACTTCGTAGCCCCCCCTTTCCGTTATCCCCCCCCCTTCGTTTCTGGACCCCGTAGACCCGGACACGCTAGACCCGGACATCCAACATCCCTCGAAACCAATTTTTCCAGACGGCGGCACGAACAGAATACTGCACTGCAGCATTTCCAGAATAAACCCGGACACAGGCCTCAAAATCCTGCCAGACCCCCCTAAACCCGGACACAATCCCGAATCCTGCAGTGCAGCAAACAGAACATGCATGGGTGCTGAAAAACGCAACCTTGCAGGATGGCGTTTCCTTAGCTTTCCGTGTCCTGGTTTGTCTGTGTCCTGGTCTCCGGGGGCCTGATCGTTCGGCCCGAGCGCTGCTCCGGAGGCGGCTCTTCTTCGCAGCCTGCGCACAGCATCAGGCTCGGCGCCGCCGCGCCGCAATGGCCGCACGCGGGCGCCGCCGCCGCCCCCCGCGCGGCGGCGCCCGCCCCCGGCGCGGCCCAGCGGCCCGCGGCGGCGGGCTGCGCCGCCGGGGCGGCCGCGCCCGCGGGGCACGGCGCCGGTCGGAGGGCGCCAGCCGAGACCCCCTCGCGCTGCGCAAAAATCACGACGCACAGCCCTGGCCATCGCTCGGACGTCCAGTCCCTGTGCTTTTTGTTGGTTTCGTGCGTGGTTTTTCGCCAAACGATCAAGGATGCTCCTCGATGGTCCTCGCCGAAGGAAGAATGCACACGTCCGAGCGATGCCAAGAGCCTTCCCCTATTTTCAGCCCCTGGGGCCCCCCTTACCGGCCTCTAGGGCCGTCAGGAAACGACTCGGGAGGATAAAAAATCACAACGTCGGAGGCCTGGGAGAGCGGTACACTCGCCGTCGCTGGGGCAGCCCGACCCCGGGGCCTTGTTCGGTGTCTCGTGCGTGTTGTCTCTGGCTAGACTGAGCCAAGATGCTCCTCGATGGCCCTCGCCGGGAAAAGAGGGGCACACGTCCGAGCGATGCCCAGTGAAGAAGAAAAAGCGGCATAAAAATAAACTTTTGGCGATCCGCGCGGATGTCTTGGAACTGCGCTAGACCCCCCTCCCTGGCACACGCAGCGCGCCACCGGGGCCGCTGGGGGGGGGGGCCCAGCGTGGATCCAAGAAATCCGCGCGGAGGGGCAGAAGTTCATGTTTGTGCCGTTTCTCTTCTTCGAGCCCAATACACCTGTACCGATCCTGGCCAGGCCCTCGGCCACACGTAAGAGTGACCCTGGGTAAGAGTGACCTGTGGTGCGCGGCTAAACGGGGGACGCGGGGTGACCAAACCTGGGCGCACAAGCCGAAGCCGCTGCTACCGCTTCGCGCTCAGCGATCGGGGGATCCCTTTGGGCCCGCACAGCAGGTCGCTTCGGCGAAAGGTCACTCTTACGTCCAGTCGAGGCCCCTCTTGGGCCCAGGACTGGTCCGGCCAGGACCAAAGCCTGAATTCGAGGCATCCCACCATGAAGGTCGCTGCCGGTTTATCGGCGGGCGGGCGCGGCGCGGCAACGCGAGGTCCTGCGCTCCGGCGGGGCCCGGGCCAGGCCAGGAAGGAAGCAGGGCCGCGGGGGCCGGGGCGTAACCGAGCTGTCCTCCTCCTCCTCCTCCTCCTCCTCCTCCTCCTCCTCCTCCGCCTCCTCCGCCTCCTCCTCCTCCTCCTCCTCCTCCGCCTCCTCCGCCTCCTCCTCCTCCGCCTCCTCCACCACCTCCTCCTCCTCTTCCACCTCCTCCCTCCTCCTCCTCCTCCTCCTCTCCCCCTCCTCTTCCTACTCCTCCTCCGCGTGATGCGCCGTGGCGTGCCCAGGGTTGTCCCGACGGCTGTCCCGACGGCTGTCCCGATGGCTGTCCCGATGGCTGTCCCGATGGCTGTCCCGATGGCCGCCCCGCTGGCTGTCCCAATGCTTGTCCTGTGTTGCTTTTGCGAGTGCCGGTCGCTAAGCACCAGGCAACACCCCTCAAACCTCCTTCTGCCACCCGCAGGGCGGTCTCTATGGAGGCCTCCTAAACGGGCTCGGAGTAATTAGATGGGGTCGGAGGATCGCGCCGCATCGCCGATGCATCGGCGATACATCGAAGATGCATCGACGATGCATCGGCGACATCGGCGATGCATCGGCAATGCCAGAGTGGAGAAAATCGGGCTCCACATCGAGCCGCATCGCCGATGCGTGCGCGATCCTCCAACCCCGTCTGCTCGGACCCCATCTATAGGAGGCCTAGAATCGGGAAAACGAAAAATAACATGAACATAAAAACTCGGAGGTCCGCGCGGACTTCTCGGATCCCCGTTGGACCCCCCCTCCCTGGCGCGCGGAGCGCGCCAGGGGCGGCGCCGGTGACGCCGCCGGGGGGCCCCAGCGCCGATCCGAAAAATCCGCGCGGACCTCTGAGCTTTTGTGTTTCTGTCATTGCTCGTGATCTTTTCAACACGCGGTCCCCGGAAGCCTCGACCCATTCCCCAGGCCCGGCTTTTCATCCTGAGTCCC